CCCAACATGGATGCGCCCAAGACTACAATGAAAGCCCATGGGTAGCGATGTAAGGTTCGCTCGACATATCCGGGACAGACTATCTCCCAAAAATTCCTGGACTTTTTCGACCGACTAGATTCAATCCCGAGTTCAGCAGAGTGGTAGGTTGATTGCAGAAAAGTTGATTGTAACTTCTTTAGTTGTGAATGCCATCTCCAGCAGATGGCATTGAAAAGTTAATGCTTTTTCTTTGGAAAAATTACTTTCCAAAAACTCTCAAAAATGGAAGTAGATAATACCGAACAGTGTTTTTTCGTTAGAATCCCCTTTGAGTCTTCTATTAACGTACGGTTCAGAATTTTGAAAATTGAGTTCAGTCATCTTCTACGAATTTTTAAAACCATAGAAAATTAACGAATTCGATTTTCAAATAATGTCACCACCTAATCACACCTTTGTCGGCATGACCGAATTCATAACGGACTTGCTTAAAAAGAAAGTTTTTTCTAATAAAAATTATTAATTTTTAAATAGTCCATATTTTTACCGCTTCTGTCAAGTGAGATTCGGGAATACGGAATCCAATAGATCGAATTTTTTATGACTCCCAAAAATTTTTTATGAGTGTAAAGTCCATATTTCGTCATTCAGTTGTCCCATTCTGGGCTTGGCCTAACCGCGATTGATTTGGAAGAAGTGTCCTCTTAGTGCTCATGTGAAAAAAAGAGTCAAAAGTTAAATACAGTATACAATTTCATTGTTCGGTTTTGGATAAAACAAATGTATTGATCATCCCGTCAACAGATTTTACCATTTTCCTCGAAGAATCACTCATATTAGTTGGAAGATAATGAGGTAATGCGTATCTCAATTTCTCCCAGAACCACCGTTCTCCCCATATTAAATATGTTTTGGTTTTTAGTAAAGTTTGAATATCTAATGGAAGCGTGTCGATCGGTGGCAAATTTCCTTTAATAATAATGATAATTCGTTCAATTCTATCCTCTAAAGATTGCAAATAAGCCATTTGCAATTCTGTTTCAAACCAGAAACTTTTAAGAAACTCCTCTGACATTATTAAAATAGTTTTCTTGCTATTTTTGACCGAATTTTCAATCTGGCAGAGGATAGGATAACCGGGAAGCCAATCCCTTTCGTGAATACACAATTTGAAAAATGGATATTTGTCCTCCAATTCGGAAATAAGAGAGAAGACACAGTCGCGATCATGATTCGAATACGAAATAAATGCATCGTACTCTTTGTCTTCATCTATACTCGATACAGTGAAACGAAATATTGAGGGATAACGCGAATATAGGAATGCTAATATTAGTTTCTTATGACGGTAATACAACACTGTACTCGAAATTATAACTAGACAGATGAAAGAAAGTGTTGTTGCAATGATAGCAACTTTCATCTTCGATTCATCTTCTTGTGGACAAAATGCATCAACGGGAACATCCTGAAGCACCGATAAAACTTTAGTATTATTATTATTTATAATTCTGCTACACAGAACGTCTTTAGACTTTGCGATCTTCTTTATATTATCAGTAAACCAGTATTTGAAGGAACGAAATGAACAATTACAAGTGAAACTGTTGTTCCGTATATCTAATTTGAAGATGGTTGCAGCCGTTACGTGTCTCAATAACGACTCTGGTATAAACTCGAGTTTGTTATATCTAAGTGAAAGCTTTTCTAATCCAAAAGGTATTATCCAATTCGTCCAGGGATTCAGATTATTATTATCTAAATTCAAATATGTGATGTTTTGCCATTCTGCTGTTTGTGGAATTTGAAAATCTGAAATCGAATTATTTGTCATGTGTACCACTGAAGTTTTGGGTGGCAAAATGACTGGAAAAGTGCGTAAATTTGCTGAAGTACAATTAACTAAAACTGTATTATCTTCATGTAGATAACAAAAACAACTTTGTGGACAACGTTCATAATAGGGACAGATGTGCAACAGATTGATATTCACTAGTTTTCTATCTTTCATAGTGTCGTGACATGTCAGATGATCAGCCTCAACTATACTGATTCTACGACTTTGAATATTTTTAACGAAATCCCTAAGAGAACATTGGCACGAAAAAACGTTGAAATTTAGCTGGAGTGACACATTCGGAGAAATATTTTTATTAATAGTAACGTAAGCAATCTGATTATGTTGCAAATTTATAAATCCCGACGAAGGTAGATCGCTTGATGAAAGATGAGTTATGTTGTTATAGCTTAAATCAATTACAGCAACATTGAAAGGTTCCCAAAAAAGTTTAGGGAATTCCTCGATATTATTAAAAGATAAATTAATATAATTCAGATATCTGAATATACCAAATGTACCAAATTTACGAAGTTTGTTATGGCTAAGATCGAGCTTCTCTAGATTAACTAGAAATGCAAAATCTTTCTCTTCAATTGTCTCTATATTATTCGAACGAAGATCCAATACTTTCATTGAGAATATTTTCTCAAAAGAACTGGAAGGAATTTGAGTGAACGAATTCCTTGAGAGATTTAGATGAGTGAGAAGATTGTCTGGATAAAACAGACCAGTAGGAAGTGAAGTCAGCAAGTTTCCACTTAGTTGTAATTGAAGAAGTATGGTTTTAACAAACGTTTCTGGATGAATAGCGGTTAAAAAGTTGTCATCCAGACTGACATTCATCAGCAAAGGACAATTGGAAAACAACTTCTCTGGTATTGAAGATAATTTGCAACTAGATGCTGAAAAACTAAGTAATCTCGAGCAATTCTGGAATAATTCTTCAGGTAACTGTTGCAACGGATTTTCTGATACTTCAAAAATTTCCAATAATCTGTTATGGCCTAATAACTTAGGTGAGAGATCAGTCAAAGAATTTCTGTGTAGGAAAAGTTTTTTTAATGAATGTAAGTTTGCAAAAATATCCGTTGGAAGCGATGTCAAACCATTTCCAAATATGTTTAAGATCTTTAATTTATTAGATCCTGAAAATATTTCCAACCTATCCGCATTGAAGCTACCATTAACAAGGAGGAGGATTTCTAAATTCGGAATTAAATTAAATATACTATCCTCTATGATGTTTACTCGGTTACCAGAATTCCAAAACGTAACTAAATTAGGAACATTTCGAAAAGTAGAATTGGAAATTTGCCATTCAGGATTTCTCACGATAAGCGATCTCAAAAATGGCATATTGTCAAACACGATTTCTCTAACATTATGAATTTTTAACATTAAAGTATTCGCGACGAGATTAGCGAACACGAATTTATCATCCGTGTATACATCCGACATAGATATACCCTCGGCATAGTACAATATGGTTGAGTCAATGATGTCATTCGGCACGAAGCAATGGACGATGAGAACGGAAATAAATCTTCTGTTTTTCACACAATTTTCCACACTTTTTGTATGAAGAGTGTTGTTGTTGCATACGATAACAATACTATTTGTTAAATAACTTACTGTGATGTCTATGTCGTAGGATGAATTGACATTACAGGAGATATTAAAGAATTGTGATGAATGCACTTCGTAAATAAGGATGAGGAACCAAACTGCACACTTCATTTTATGATTTACCTGTCCAAATAAAGTATTTTAAGTCATAATATCGATGCACAACCAAGTTTATGATAACTTAAGTAGGCCAAAGTAGGCTGACCTGTACTAGTCCATGGTACAGTACCATGAATACAGTTACCATGAACTACTTTAACTTACCATGAACCGAGTTCATATTAAGTTAAAGTTGGCTACTCTGTATTAATAATTCATTTCTACTAATATTAAATTAGAAGAAGAAGTAGAAAGCAGATAGATCCATTATATACAGATATACACAACAATACATAAAGCTAGCTCAATTCATGCTAATTTCCAAGAAATTTTGTAAATAAGGGAAGATTTTTCACTTTCATTCTGTATAAATATCCATAATTAGAAGTCGAAACCATGATCAGCAAAATAATTACTAAAATTATCACTAAACACCTTTTAGTAATTATTCTACTGAGGCTGCTTAGACATTTATTTGCTATAGGCTAGACTAAAGTGCCTTTTTTTGGAACTTCAGTGAAATTTGGGATATAGAATAATATTCTATATTTACTGTATTCTAGTCTGATACAGTTTGTAATTGATATTCCAAAAATGTCACCTGAGGATGGTCTATATATTAGGCTGAAAATGTAAGTGTATAGCAAATAAATGCGTCTCAGCAGCCAAAGGTGTTTAGTGATGATTTTAGTAATTACCTATAGTTAGTATCTTAGGTAATTCTTATCTAGCCTTACTAAGATATTAACTTTAAGCTATGTATATAGACTTTCGTAAGATTCAGATTTCAAGTTATTCTTTTTATAAAGATAAACTAATTATTAATATAAATTTATTTATATATTTGGTTAGTAGTATTGATACAAATATCCTATTACAAATAAAATACAATTCCTTACATATCTCCCAAAAATTGACTTAAAAGTTCAAAATCCAGCATTAAAATGTCTTCCAGTTTACAGTTTATTACTTATAGTGCTTACATTTTACGTAATAATTGGTATGTACTGTATGTACAGTACAGTACATATTACATACTTTATTTCTAGGGGCTGTCGATAAATGACGTCCGGTTATTTACAAGTCCCACAAGGGGAGGGAAAGGGTTGATGTTCAAGGGACGTCATGTTTATTTCATTAAATTTTATACAGCTTAAGCAATTTTTACACTTGACTATTGCCCAGCTGTCGTCAACCACTTACAGGGGGTCTAAGCTATAACATAACAGGCCATTCCCTTCCAGCAAATAACACAAGTAAAAATCTCAAGCACTAAGCTACAGGATTCACAAGGCGTGACCTTATGTTGCAGCACACGGGACTGCCTACGTACTGTAAAAAAATAGAGCTTTTAAATTAAAAAAGTAATTTTATAACATACCTTTAACCAAGAGAGATAATTGCAATTAATAGCATTTACAATAACATAAAGCGCAACCTTTGACCTACATTTATTAACTTATAGGCGCAGCAAACATTACGCAACATCATCAGTTGTTATCTTACCAAACTAATGCTGCTACAGTAACAATGTGAGGAAGAAATATAATACACACGTTACGTAAAGTCTTGAGGAACGGAAACGTCACGATATCCTACTTGGAAAATTAGAGATTAGGCAAATCTAAAATATGTTACGTCAATATCCTGACAACTGGTGAAGATCAGGTTAACCACCACTGTACAATGTAACGGTAAGTAACGATATTAAAACATTGCAAGCGTAATCTAAACACTTCTCGTTTACACGTGTTTACTGTCTATCGGCATGCAGTACTGTCACGTGATCGTCGATCACGCATCCTTTTTTTTCCTTCACTTTTCGCTTATATTAATAATATAATCAACTAATTATTCATTGAAAATGTATAAAATCTTTCGAATATTTGAGAAATAATTTATTATTTTTATGGTGACGTCACTTCGCCATAAATTCTTCCAATTCAAAACTAGGAAGTCGTCTCATGACTTTTAAATTGTTATCTCAATTTTATGTTAAATATTTCGTAATATGTCATAAAAATTTATTTTTATTATTAATATAATAATTTTGAATTAATGATTTAGCAAAAATATAATAAAATTATATAAGAAATATTCTAGAAATAAATAGAAAGCCTTTTTTTTTAATAATATAAATGTTATATTATTAAACAAAATTAATAGTGAACGAATTC